CCATGACAATGACACCCTGGGCCATGCTGACGCATAGCTTGGGGCATAGCATACGGACCCTGTAAGAAACTTTACAATGACACATCCTCCCCAAGGGCATTTACACTGCGCTGCAGGACTTGCTGAAGCTGCTCTGAGCACACACCCAGGAACCACAAGGGCAGGAAGAGCATGACAATTGTCCCTAAGCAGTGTTTGTGAACTTGAGCGTGATCCTATCCGAAAGTCAAGAACATTCTTCCTGAGCCTGTGCTGACATAAATTATTGCTGCTGCAATGATTCAAATGGCACAGACACAAACATCCAAGTTTATGGTTGTTTTACAACTGTGAAACGAAAACATGTAAGTTAAATACAAACAATTACAACAGCAATAAAAGACATACTAACATTTTATGTGATGGTCTGTGAAACCAAGTTGCCCTCATTGAGTTTGGGACTGAATGTGGTTCAGATTCTTCTGGAGGTGATGGGTTCTCCCCATCATGTGCTAGAAACATGAATCGAGCTGATGAGCTCCATATTCTCACCTCCATGGAGTCAAATGACCGTCCTGCTCCCCAGGGTCCTCTGTTGCTTAAATCCGCTGCTTTATAGACTTGCTCCAGGCTGGGAATCTGTGTCTCTCTCTATGGAGATATACAGAGAGATGTCTTAATTTCCTATTTCCAAATTATTAGGAGTCCAGAATGGGAAATTCCCTAAAGCCCAAGTCTTCTGCTTAGATTCCTAAAACAACAGAACTCTATTTCATTATAACATCTCTTAAATTGGAAGGGAACTTTTTAGAACCAATGGTAACTTATAATAAATGAAATATGGAAATTTGTAATGATATACTAGGTAATAATTACAGGATGCTTGTAATCATAATATAAATCAAATAAAACTGGGATGTCTTCAGATAAACTTCGTAAACTTTTTTTAAATAAGTTCTTCCTCTGTTGCCTAGGCTGGCCTTGAACTCCTGAGGCTCAAATGATCTTCCTACCTCAGCTCCCAAGTAGCTGGAGCTACAGGTGCAGGTGCATGCCATTATACCTGGCCATAAACAAACTTTTATTTCCTAAATTTTATTTAAAAAAAAAAAGCTTAACAGAAGTTGCAAGAGTAGTACAATGAATTCCATGTACATTGTATAGTTTCATCTCCTGAAGGGCAAAGTCATTCTCTTCCATAGTCACACTTAGGAAATTCAACACTTACATAGGTAAACTATACATTCCATCCATATCAAATTTTCCAACACTACCAATAATGTCCTTTTCAGTAATTATGTGAGCTTGGATCACACATTACATCTAGTTGCTAAATCTTTTCACCTCCTTTATCCTGGATAGTTCCTCAGTCTGTCTTTTTGTTCATTGAATGTGAATCAGTGGTCAATTTGAAGGTAAATCTTCCCTGAGTTCAATTATACAGTTGACCTGTCCAGTTCCAAGGCTCTTCCTTATTCCTACTCCTCCGCCCCCTTTTAGAGCTTTCTAAGAACTCGGTGCCGTTTGTGTCTCTTGGGAGCTGGTCCAGGTTTTTTTTCCAGCCAACCTGCAGAATCCTTTAACATCAAGCTCATACTTACTGTTAAGGTCATTGCTGTGGTTTGAATGTAAAATGTCCCTCCATAGGAGGTGATGGTGGCACTATTTTGGGAGGTGATGGAAACTTTAGGAGGTGGGCCTAGCTGGAGAAAGTAGGTCACTGGGTGCCTATCCTTGGGATCTGGATCTCCCCCTGGCCCCTTCCTATATCTTTCACTCTGCTTCCTGTCCACCATGACCTTATTTAGCCTCAGCTACATGCTCCTATACAGTGATACACTTCCTCACCAAGGGCCCAGAATCAACGGAGCCAAGGACTAAGAACTGAAACCTCTGAAACTGTGAACCAAAATAAACAATTTTTCCCCTTTAGCTGTTTTTCTCAGGAGCTACACTGGCACAAAACTGGCTAATGTGGTTGAGAATGACGCCTATCCATCAGGACTGTCAACGAGGTAGGTTTGGAGTTGCTGTTTCAGTCTCCACTGTAGACTTTCAGGTCTATAGCTTCACATTTTCTTACCTTAAAGGAAAGCCCACTGCACTCCACACCACTTCCCTAGCAGTGCACTGAAGATGCTGCTGCAGGTGTCATGCAAACCCCACCAAAAAAGGCTCTAGGCATTTTTCTGATTGGATAGATGGACGCATTGTCTGTAACTATGATCTTTCTTATCTTCCCTGCCATCAGCCACAGCTGAAAACCATTTTTTGAGTTTACTCTGTTTACTCCCTTCTAATGGCAATTCATGCATGCAACTGTTTTTAGCTATAATGCCTCTGTGAACAATATGGAGGGGGAAACCTTCAAAATTTCTTGGCTCCTTCCAAACTGAAATAGCAACATGTAGAAATCTGCTGAACACCAGAGGGGGTATTGATTTTTCCTTAGTGCTCTCAGTTTAGGGATATATTTGCTGTACACGAAATCAAAGTGATTCCAAAACCATCCCATCCCATCTGTGGCCCAGGTGCCAATAAACACAGAGTACATTTATTTTGAGAGAATCTGGATTTCTACCAGTAGCAGCTGATACCTAAGATTGGTTGTTTTTAATGTCCATAGAGACCTGGGTCAACTTTAGAATGGTCTGAATGCCTATCCAGAAACCCAAGCAGGGATTTTTAGGAGAAGTAATTAAAAAAAATAATTGGGTGTTGCTGTTCTAATTCAGAATAAAGTCAGACCTCATAGAGCCAGGGCTGTACAAATGAATCAGTGGAGGTTTTCAAAGCACCCTAGGGTGGTGAGTAAGTGAATAGCAGGCTACCGGGGAAAGGGAAAGATCAGGATGGTTTCTATCATTTTAGTCCAGAACAGTTGAAATGCTGAGTCTCATCCTGGTCATTGGTTGTGTCTTCTGTGGGGCCTGGGTATAGCTCCCCATTCTTATGTCATGTACCAAAGGTTTTACCAAGATGTTTTGCTAGATCATTTGGGAAGCTGAAAAGCACTGACAGAGCAACCAGCTGAAAACAGCAAACTATTATGTACCACAGAACTGCAAGAAAAGCACTTTGCAGCCCCAAATCTCCAGTTTGGGCAGATACAGGGCAAAGGGTGGCTGTTTAAACGCCTGCTCAGTTCTGCAGGGAGAAACTGGTATTTGGCTCCTCCAAGCATGGCCCACACTCCCACCACCTGGGCTGGGGTGGGAGGTCTCCAAGAACATCAAACTACACTTTTGCTTCCCTAACCCCTGCTCACATGCACTTACCTTAAAGTAATCTGTGACTTTATACATGTCACCTTCCTTTCAAAAGTAATGTTCAGAGAGGTCACCATGCCCATGAATCCACAGCTGTTGCTCAGTATGAGACACAGGTCTGCTTTCAGAACAGGTGTCCCTTTACCCACAACTTTCTCTCCAGTCCCGCCAAGCACAGCCTTGGGTTCCATGGCTGAGCTGACTGTTGGCAGTCAGGATCCAAGTTTTCAGTTCAGAGACTCTGTGACCCACAAAATTCCAGAGATGTCTTCACTCCAATTTTGAGCCTCAGTTTGCTAGTCTGTTAAATGGGACCTGGGCAGAATGTAAGGCTCACTCCCTTACGTGTGCAGAGAGGTTTCCAAGCTCTTTCCTGAAAGCCTCAGGGGAATGCTTGCATTTGTGGACTGAGAGATTCAATTTGACCCCAGTTCTTATCCTTACTTCTGGTCCTTGCCATCAGTCCTAGAGTCCCTACTGCAAGCTTACCATCAGCTCCTCTCAGAACCCTCCACAAACCAGCCTTGATGGTTAGCCCAGTCCCTAGGGGGGCTCTGCTTCATAGGAGGGTCTCTCAGCAGGCAGATCTCATAGGGCTCCAGGCCCTGGGGTTTGAAGAGCTCCTGAAGCCTTTGTCCCCACTGGTGGAGGGTCCCTCTGGGACTCACCCTGGGGCTCAGTACCAGTGGGCAGCACCACACTGGCTGCATGACTCCCCTACCATCCTCACTCCCTTTAGAGGGAAGGAGGTGGGGCTTGTCCTAGTCTCTCCCCCACCACACACACCTCCTCCTCCCACTCTGGGGACCCGCTCTCAACCAGGCCCACCTTTTTCTTTTTGGTTTTTCTGAAACCCCACAGATACCACCCCTCCCCAGGCACACACAGAGCATACCAAAGAGACTTATTGCTTAGAGATCCTGAGCTAACACATCAGACAAGCTCAGACCCCAAGTTTGGAGCCCTGGTGAAGAGAGTTGGCTTAGAGTGACCTGGGCTGGGTGGCTTCTGTGTTGTGCGACTTGGGTCTGTCTCTTTTCTCCCTGCTTTTGTGTCCCTGTCTATAATACTAAGGATAACTGGCGTTCATTCATGTCAGCTGCTAGGTGCCAAACTTTTACTTGCTCTTCTTATACATCTGATAAGGGAGTGGGCCCGTTGCCCCATTGTACAGATGGAGAAAACTGAGGCATGTAGAGATTAAGGCCCTATCCCAGGGTCTCACAGTGGAATGATTCATTAACATCTGCAAGCCTCTTAGCCCAGGTTGGCCAAGGGTGCCCTAAATGGTAATTATTATTAATAATTTCCACATATTCTGAACTTGCCTGTGTGGACCCTCTAATTTTCCAAGGGTCCTTACCCTGGCCCCGCTGGCAGCAAAAGTGAGCTTTCCCCTCCTCATCTGCTCTAGGGCTCACAAAGGTCCCTGTGGCCTGAAAGCAGGAGGTCCAGGGTCAAGGTTTGGTAAATGTGCCCTGTCCCCAGTCTCTGAGACCCCTGGCCTCAGGAATCACCGTGTCCCTGGGGCAGAGAGACTGACAAACCCATTACAGAGCGATCGCCCCTCAGAGCCTCAGTTTTCTCATCTGAGAAATGGACTTTGCCGCTGAGCGTGGATCACGAGGCCGCTCCCCTTGTCCAGCGCCGGCCAAGGGACCCAGAAGCCCTGGCCCCAGCAGTGGCAGGCGGCCCGAGGGGCGGGCCGGGCCGGGGGCGGGCGCGGGGCGGGCGCGGGCGGGCTGGCGGCGGCGGAGCCGCGCTCTCCCGCGTCACAGCGCCGGGCGGTGGCGTGGAGATGCGGCTCCTGGCGCTGGCGGTGGCCGCGCTGCTGGCGCGGGCTCCGGCCCCGGGTAAGCGCGGCGGGGCGGGCGGAGCGGCAGCCTGCGCGGGAGGCCGGGATCGGGCCTGGCAGGGAGGCCCTGCGCCACGGGTCCCCTCCCCGCGTGGGCAGCGGCCGGGCAGCGCTGTCACTGTCGCAGGCGCGCTCCTCTTCGGGGGCGCAGCGGTGCCTTCGCAGCTTTCCGCGGTCCCCGTCCCAGCCGAGCCCGCCCCTGGGCCCCACGCTCCCCAAGTGCTCTGGGGACAGTCCCCGTGACCCTCCAAGGAGCAGGCCGCGGGGAGGGGGGGCTCGCTTTCCTTTTCCACCCTAGTCAGGACCCGCAGCTGTCGCAGGTTCCTCTGGGACAGCCACTTCCCTGGAACTCTCTTCGGAGACTTGCTGAGAGGATGAGGTCAGGAGCCCTGGGTGAGCTCCAGCCTGGCGTTGGGGACTGGGGCTTGGTCACTCGTGGGCCTTTTGAGGTGACCAGATCTCCTCGGCTGGGTGAAAGGGGACGGTTTCCCACAAACTTTTTTTTTTTTTTTTTTACAGCACTGGGGCTTGAACTCAGGGCCCACACAGTGAGCCACGCCACCAGCCCTTTTTTGGTGGTAAGATCTTTGGAGATATGTATGGGCTTGAGAACTGTTTGCAGGCTGGCTTCGAACCGCGGATCCTCCTGATAGAGCTAGCGAGGATTGCCTGCTGACTGGCTAGGATTGGTGGCCTCTCTGCCCAAACTGCAGGCTTGTGTTGGAGCTGGATGGCTCCCACTTGTCAATTGTTGAAGAATTTTCTTCTCTTGATTCCACCCAGGGCCCTGCTGGCTGTCTCCTTTCTGCAAGGGCCAAGCTGGTTAGAGCAACAGTAATAATAAGTTCATCAATGGTCCGCTTTTCCTGGGTGCCTATCAGGTGCCAGGTGTGTATTATCTTATTTAATCACAATACTATTTCCAAGTAATAAGCGACAAGAGCAAATATTTATATTATAGATCATAGTACTTCTACAGAATATTAACTCAGTTAATATGGCCAGTAACTCCCTGAGGGCTGTGCTGTTATTATCCCCTCCACTGTTCTTTTATAGATGAGGAAACTCAGGCACAGGCCTGCAAACTGACTGGTAGACCTGTAAGTGGTAGAGCTAGGATTTGAACCCAGGAAACCGGGCTCCTAACTGCTAAGCTGTGTTGCCATGGTTTTGGAAATAGGGAACTGATACTCAGAGTTAATTAATTTTCCAAGGGTGACCCAGCTACAAGTGCTGGGGCTGGTGTTTGGGCCAGAGTCTGAGGAAGAGAGACTCCTATGCCAGTGGAAAGAAATCCACGCATTGTCCCCTGGTCACAAATTTCCATGGGAAATGCTCCTTCTCCAGGTAGTCACTGTCCTGACTGGCAATGCAGGGGGTTTGGTTAGATTGCAGGTCAGGCCAACACTTGTGGCCACAGACACCGGGTACTGCATGCTTACCTGTCTTCTGACTACAGGGACCTGGGAGAGAGTACCGGAGAGTCACAGTCAAGGACAGTCTGAGGAGCCCTGGAAAGCTCTGAGAGCTGGAGTTTGGTATCCTTCAGAGTCTGTCCTGATTGTGCCCAGGGCCACCCTCCACTCTTACTTGTGGCACTCGGCATGCATTTGCCACCCACCCTTCCAAGTGCTTCACCCATGACTCCTTGCCCCAATTCTGCAAAGAAAGGCCTGCTTGACTCGGTTACACTTGTGTCCAGTTTCCTGGTAGCTGTGCCTTTCAACCTTTCCATTTTGGGATGGAGTGAGACCTTAATGGTCACCTGGTCCCACATTTCATTTTATAGAAAAAAAAAACTGACAGGCAAAATATTTACTAAAAGCCAAGCTATGGTTCCAAGGGGGTGGTTAAGAGTTGTCTTTGAAGCCAAATCTATGTCCCTTCAAGTTCCAGTTCTGCCACATACTGTGTGAGCTTGAACAATTTGCTTAGCCTCTCTGTGACTTGATCCTCTTGTCTATAAACTGAGGATTAGCAGAGGATTTGGATAAATTAGTAAAATACATCGAAAGTGCTTAGAACCATGCTTGACATAGAGTTCCCAGCAGCAGATGTTTGCCTCTAGCATGGGCAAGGGCTAAATTTAGGTGCTGGGCTTCATAGGAATGAATCACTCAGGGGCTAGGTCTGCTAACCCCCTGTTTAGTACTCCTAAACACAGCCTCTTCGTGCTGTGGGGTTGTAAGGAATGCATCAAATTTCTTTCAGGGACTCATTGTCATATCCATTGCCACCAATAGAGTGCTGAAAGTTTGCATTCCTCATAAACGTAGAGGCTCCTGGCTTCTGGAAATGGGTGGTTTCTTTAGGAAGAGAGGAAAGTGGGGTACAGGACTGCCACTACTTGGCTCGGTTAGAACCGAGGACCTTGGGCTGCGTCCACCCCTGTGTCCTTGACAAGGACCTTCACTCTCCTGCCCAGGGGCGCTGCGTGAGAACTAGAATGTGTGCTACCTGGCTCCATAGATGTCCCTTAGGACTAGTGTTAGTGCTGCATTATTCTTTTTCATGAGCTATCTAAATGCAAGCAAGGGGTAAACCCCTTGTCTAGCCCTGGAACTTAAGAATCACAGAGAAGCATAGTCGGGTATGCAACTTGTGAGTCCATTGCAAAATAAAAATTAAAAACATGAAAACGTCAAGAAATCAGCAGTAAGGAATAAAGCCAAGGGCTCTTCCCAGGCTAGGACCCTGTAGGCCTGCGATCGTGTGTCCAGGAAACCTGCTCCATTCAAGGTGTGTGGAGTGCTTTGTACTGCACCTTAGCACACATGAACTAAAATCTGCATGTGACAGGTTTACTCATCTGTCTCTTATGCGCAACACAAATGCGTTATGGTCCATAGGGCTGGTGAAGAAGCTGAGGCTTTGTATACTAACAGAACCAGGTTTCCAGCCTGACTGTTCTGGACATCAGCCCCTGACTCTCCATCCAGTTCTTCCCCCCCTGACTCCCACCACTGCTTCTGCATCTCACTGCTTCTCTCCAGAGACCTGGGAAGGCCTGGTACCATATACATGCCAGGGCCCAGCCCATGTGGGGAGTCCAGGACTCCCCATTACCAAGGCACGCCATGCTTGTTGAAGGAATGGGATCCTACCAGCACGAATCCCGTCTCTGTTTGGATCAGTCTCTGCCCTGCTTGTATTGTCATTTTCTTCTCTTAAGAACTGGTTTTCAGGTCCCTAGCTGGGGTGGAGAGTCCTCTCCCGAAGCCCATGTGCAGGCAGAGGTGGCTGATTGGGCCACACCTTTCCATTTTCAGCCTGCACCACATTCTTCCTGCCTCAAGGCCTTTGCACAGACAGGATTCTCCCCCAGGAAGGTTACTCCTTGCTGGTACTCTGAATTTTATTTTATTAATTTAGATGTGAACTTCAGCTCATGGTCACATTCCCAGATCTCTTCTTTGACCCCAAAGTCTAGATCAGGATCATTCTGTGATTTTTTCTAAACCTCACAAATTTTCTCTGTAGCCTGTGTCATTTGGAGTTCCATCTCTGATGTCTTTTTCCTGATGCGTGGCTGCCTTCCCCATTGGCCTCTCAGCTCTGTAAGGTCAGGAATGCCGCCTTCTTCCCACAGTGCCTGGCCCATGGGGCAGACGCCATAGGAGGCAGGAACCCTATGTGGAGAGGTATAATATGTGTATATGGCGTGGGGGTGGGGAGCTATCTCCTACCTCAATTCTCTGCAGTGAAGGGTCACAAAGCAAAAATTACATTATTTTTCAGCTACAGTGACTTAAAAAGCTTCTAGACCAGGTGAGGAGGATGTTATTTTGGCTGGTAAGGAGGGTAAGTATTACCCAACCTGTGCCATCTCCTGCAGGTCAGGGCTCTGTTATTCAGGCTGACCTCCACAGGAAAGGGCCTGGGCTCCCACAGCAGTGGGCTCTGGACACCCAGCCTGCCTCTGGACACCGTTGTGCCTGCTTCCCACTGTCCTGCTATTTACTTTGCTGAGCCACACGGGCCTGATGACTGCAGTGGGGCAGAAGCTGTCCCAACCTCTGTTCTTTCTGCTAGTGTTGAACTAAGCACCCAACTATGTTCATATTTGGCAGGCCTTTGGCTCTCCTCCTGCACTTCTTCCTCCTTCGGGCTGGGCCAGCTCTCCAGCTCTCCTAGGGCACCTGGCTCTGCATGGGGACTCCTGCAACTGACCTCCAGGAAAGCTTTCAGACTGCGCAGGGGAGGGGCTCACTCATGTTAGTTTCATTCACAGTCTTGTGTTGAAGGTGGGTGTGAATATGAGAGCTGGTAGCAGGTGGAGGGCTGAGGTGAAAAAAACACCTCAGATTGGATTGGGTGCTAAACAACAGAAATGTATTTTCTGACCATCTGGAGGGCTGGAGTTTCAAGGTCAAGGTACAGCTTCTCCTTGACTTTTAGATGGCACCTGCTCCCTGAGTCTCCACCTCATCTTTCTCTCTGTGTATCTGTGTCTTCATCTCCTCTTCTTATCAGGACATCAGTTATACTAGAGTAGCACCCACTCTAATGGTCTCATTTTAACTTAATCTTTATCTTTTTAAAGTCCCCAAATGCAGTCACGTTCTGAGGTATCAGAGGTCAAGACTTCAATGTACGCATGTCTGAGGGCCCATAAAGGTCTTTGCACTTGGGTGGGAGAACCAGATGTTTGGGCCATTTGTAAGAGCAAATGGGACGAAAGGAAGGCAGAGAAGCATGCTGCCGAAGAAAAAGCACCCTGGGAAGTGTGCTCAGCCCGTTTCTTTCCTGGGAGCTGCTGACAGAGCTGAGCTACAGAAGTGGAAGGGGTTACTCATCTGCTTCTAGGATGGAATCTGGCTTCCCATGGGGACTGGAGCACTTGGCTCATTCTCCTGGTTGCAGTCACTATAAATAATCCCCTTTTCATGCAGTGTTAACAGGAGGGGCCCAGGGTCCTCTGCTGTCATTCCACCCATATTGTTTCCATTTCCTGCCTTCCCAGCTCTTCTGGGCTCCAGTGTGTAGCCCTTGGGGCGGGGTGGTGCTGGCCTTGGATTCTGGAAGCCAGCTGCTACATCTCTGCTCTCTCCTCCTGTCCAATCCTAGGGGCTGTTGAGGTGGGACCAGCCTGGGGTCCCAGCTCATCAGGGAGCTCCTGCCTTGGGAGTGTGTACAATTCAGATGGCAGGAGGAAATGTCCAACTCATTGAACAGGTGCATGAGCAAGGTGCCTGCCAGGAGGGCGAGATGCAGGGAGCGTGGGAACAGTCCCTCCTCCCACCATTGCGGGAGACTCCTGGCAACAGTGGGATTATTACTAAAGAAGCCACCCTACAGGATGCTCTAGGAAAACCCAAGAATTTTAAGTTAACCACATGCAAAAAGTGCCTTTTGTCGTGGGAAGTAACATTCGCAGGGTCTTGGGATTAAGGAGGGACTTTTTTGGCTACTGGTTTTTCTGTATTTTCCAAGAATCTCCTGGGCTGGTTTTGTCCCTTGTCACTGGAGGCAGGAGGACCTTATAATGGAACACAAGATGCTTCCAGGCCAGCTCAGCCTTAGCCTTTTTTGTGAGTTTACTCCCATTTTTCTTTTAAAAGGTAACTAAAGACTGTCATGATGTGATGTACTGAATAATGGCCCCCCAAGCTGTCCTGTCCTAAGCCCTCCCCCCGCCAAGACTGGCACCTTACACAACAAAAGATATTTTATGGAGGTGATTAACTTAAGGTTTTTGGATTCTTATTCAGGAGTATCATAGGGGCTAGCCCCTGACTTCTAAGAGATGAGAAAAACAATGAAAGAAAATTGACCCTCAAATCCTAACTCTGCAAGTGTTCAGCTTCTTAAACCCATATAGAAGCCCTAGGAGAGGACGACTGCTTTGGTTTGAATATGGCTCACCCCCTCTGACTCAGGTTGAAATTTAATCTCCATTATAAGATATTAAGAGGTAGGTGATTAGGGCTCTGGCCTCATGAATGGATCGATCCATTCATGCAATTAATGGATTCATGGGATAATGAGTTATTATGAGGGTGTTATAAAAGTCAGTTATTATGAGGGTGTGTTATAAAAGTCAGTTTGACTAGGTCACTCAAGCACCCTGACTTGCTATTTGATGTCCTGTGTCACCTCAGGGTTCTGCCAGAAAGGTTATCACTAGACATGGTCCATCAACATTGGACCAGAACAGTGGGCCAAAATACACCTCTTTTCTTTATAACTTACTGAGTCTGTGATACTGTGGTATTAGCAACAGAAACTAGATTAAGACAGATAACCTATTGCCAAGATCTGAACAGAAGAGTATTTTTTATACAATGTCTCCCACCCTACCCCCTGCACAGCCTCACCTTTGTTGATCTATAGCCTCCTTGTCCTATGCTCAAATCTTTCTTGATCTCCTTTTCCTTCTTCCTCCTTGCTTATCTGTAGCACTGACCAGAGGACAAAGCTTTTGTGACTCTTTGACACCTGGTGCCAAGCTCCTTCATGGGACTAGAAGGAGATGGTGGGAGTCTAAAAGCTGTGGTTTGGAATAACTCTAGGGAAACATGTGTGGTCAGGTGAGCAGTGAATGGTACAGGTATTCTACCCTGTATGGAGAACAGGTAGGAATGTGGGACCTGGGAAAAAAACAATCCTGATTGGCTCCAAAATTCAAGGTAAAGCATCCTTTCTTGGGCTTTGTCTTCCAGAGTTTCTTATCCTGATTTTTGTTGCTATAGCAAAGGACCCGAGGCTTGGTAACTTATAAAGAATAGAAGTTTATTTGGTTCTGGATTCTGGGATGTCTAAGAGCATGGCCAGCATTTGCTTGGCACCTGGTGGAGCCTTCTTGCTGTATCATAACACAGTGTAGGGCATCACGTGATGAGGCGGCAAGCGCTGTCTCTGTCTCTTTTTCCTCTTCTTATAAAGCTACTCATGCCATTATGGGGGCCACACTCATGACCTCATCTAATCCTAATTACCTCCCAAATTATTAACCTATGATTTTAGTGATTAAGTTTCCAGTCCGTGAACTTTTGGGGACTCATTCAAACCATAGGACAGGGTATGACTCTGCTTATGAGCTCTAGGGTAGCATGGCCACAACCATGGCTGCACAACCCATCGTGTACCATGACTAGTGGCTCCTAGGAAAAGATGGCTGTGCTCAGCCTCTCTGAGGTTGTCTGGTCTGGATGGTTGTTCAGTGGCTGTTGAGGTGGCTCCATCAAAGGTCAGTTTAGGGACAGAATTGTCCCTGGGGGTAAGCGCCCTCAGGCTGATTCTAACCAAGAAATCAAAGCATAGAAAGCATCTTTTGGGGTGTTGAGAGAGCCAGTCATTCCTCCTTGTTCCTGAGGCTCCTTCATTCTTTATTCTTGAATTTCATTTCTGACACCATAGAGCCTAAGTCCAAAAAAGACAGCAAATAAACATTGTTCTTCCAGCTCACTGGGACTAGTGCCTGACTTACCAATCACCTGCCTTGGTTAGAGCTGAAATAGTTGAGATAGAGAAAGAGTGGGGGGAGGCAGGTCAGCCTTGTAGAGGACAGGCCATCGGAGAGTGCAGCCCTGCCCTGCCTTGCGGCAACCCTTACCTGCAGCCTTGTGGGCAGTGATAAAAGCAGGCCTTGAGTAGGGAAGACAAGGTGTGAGTCAGACATTTTCAAGAGATTCCCCAAATCCAAATTTGTATGTGAAATCTTCTGAATTTTAAATGTCAGTGACTAATTAAATTCTTTTGACAAATACATCTGCACAAGTGATCAGTGTTTGGAGTCCCACATGAATGGGACCATTCATTGATGAGTGTGAGGGAGCACACAGAGGCTCCCCCAAGTGGACTCTTCCTCTGACCGTGAAGGTAGAGAGGGAGCACCAAGGGACAGAGGGGTCACTGACTTCCTGGCCATGCAGAGCACCCAAGGCATGGCCTTTAGTCATCATTTTCTCTTTTCCCTTTTCCTTGCAGAGGTCTGCGGGGCTCTCAATGTCACTGTGTCCCCAGGACCTGTGGTTGACTACCTGGAGGGGGAAAATGCTACTCTCCTTTGCCATGTCTCCCAGAAGAGGCGCAAAGACAGTTTGCTTGCTGTGCGCTGGTTCTTTGCACGCACTGAGTCCCAGGAGACCTTGATGGTCAAGATGACCAAGCTCCGGGTGGTGCAGTACTATGGGAACTTCAGCCGCATTGCTAACCGACAGAGGCTGCGCCTGCTTGAGGAAAGACGGGGGATGCTGTACCGACTCTCTGTCCTAACTCTTCGGCTAACGGATCAAGGACAATATGTCTGCAAAGTGCAGGAAATTAGCAAGCACAGGAACAAGTGGACAGCCTGGTCCAATGGCTCCTCAGCAACAGAAATGAGAGGTGAGTATGCATCTGATATCTCTGGGGAGAGGTGGGGCAGGCTAGTAGTCCATCTTCCTGCTACCATGCGGGGGGCTGGGGTAGGGGGCCTGAGTTAGCTCTGCTGGACTAGAACGCATCATGTGGATCCCACTTTGATGACCACAGCCACATGAGTCAATCTGTGGGATGAGGGTAGATCTTTACTTGGCCCCTGGGGCTGAGACAAGGAATCAAGGACCGAAAGGAGCAAGTACCTACCCTCAGGCCAATCACCTAACCTTTGGGTAAAATCTATCTCATGTCTGAGAGACCATGTTGTCAGTCAGTTGGCTTGGATACTTTTGCTCTACCCAGATAGGGCAATCCTAGGCCCTTGAGTGCCCAAAGCTTACAGGCTGGACTGACAAGCCCAGAGGCTTACTGCTCCAAACACCGATGACTACAGGCTGACTGCTCCAGGCTTTAGAACCAGAGAATCATGACTGTAGGCACTCAGGTTGGATGGTTATTGCTCTAGGATTTACCCACCAGCCACTCAGCACCTGGCAGTTTTTGCAGTCCTTGGCTTTTGGCAGTGGTGAGCAGTGGTAGCTGACAGCAGTAAGCAGCAATAGGTGGCATCTTTCAGTGGCCAGCTTCCTACAGGCCTCTGCCCTACAGTGGCAAGAGTTACTCTTGGGCATAGAATGTTGAGATCCCCAGCACTTGACAATGGTAGTGTTACAGTCCTCTGGCCTAGGGTGCTTGAGGCCCTTCCCCTTTGGAAGCCATCTGAAACTTTTCCAGCTATTAGGGCCTGAAGTTTCTGATCTTCAGCTCTTCACAGCTTTTGTGTTTGTCAGCTCTGCTTCCCACCATTTCTGTCCTGGATACTCTCTGGAACTCTTCAGTTACCCTCTCTTGCTACTGCCACTGTTACCAGCTGCTGCCATTTCTGTCACTGCTGCTTCCTTTGTTGTTGCTACCACCTTCATTTCATGTTACCAGATAGACCCGCTCTAGTAATGTTAAAGATCAAAAGTAAGCAAGAAATGATCATACCAGAGAAGCCTTTTATTGGGCCTAATGTTGCAATGCCACGGGGCAGCACAGGAGGCTGCCTCCCAGATGACTCAGAGTCAAACAGCTCGTTTACATAGCCAGAAAGGGATGTGGCAAAGGTGTCTGCACAAATCACAGCATCCTTCATGTGAAGGACTGCTTGCACCAATCATGACACAGTCTCTCATGCAAATAAGGGGCTATGCTTGTGACAATCACAGCAGTCCTCATGCAAATGAAGGAGTGTGTTTGCACCAGTCACGGGCCTTCTGCTGGGCTTGAGTGGAGATGACTGCAGGTCCATGTAGACTTCACTGAGGTTTATGATGGAAAAAGTCCAGTGCATGGACTGGCAATGTGGTTCAAGTGATAGAGTGACTGCCTAGCAAGTACAAGGCCTGAGTTCAAACCTTAGTACTGCCAAAATAAATAAATAAATAAAATTCCAGTGAAAACAGTTGTGGCTGGGACGCAGGAACTGAAGTTGTTCTTTGGCAGCCAAAATTTGTGGTTGTCATGTAGCTTCTTGAAGTGTGTGGAGTGTTCAGAGCATTTGGGGCAACAGGGCAGTCCAGCTGGCTGCTTGGGTTCTAGTCCTATGCTCAAGGCAGCTGGAGTACCAGGGAAGTGTCTAATAGCTGTCAATTAGGGAGACAAACTCCCCCAGTCCCCAACATCTTAGCTTAAAGAGACAATAAACATTACCGGGGTGCTTACAATAAAGGCTATCATTAATGTCAACAGTGCTCTAACAATGCTTAACTCCTGTCCCAGTGCCCCAGAGAGTGGTGGGTCCCTTTAAGCTCCCTCCATTGGGTGAAATTTCTTGCCCCAAAACACATGCTGATTGATCTCAGAGGAGAATATGGGCAAAGTCCAGCCCTTGGAGTAGCCCCCTGCCTTGGGGCAGGGATAGGAAGTATCTCACAGCCCACCCTTCAGCTCCATCACTAGTTTTGTGAGTCTGGGGAGGCCTATTGCTCTCTTCTCAAAGGAACAGTTTTAAATGCCCAAACTAAAGTAGAGAGGGACTATCAAAGGAGCCAGAAGCATTGAAATATACTCATCAAACTAGTTCCTAAAAACAAACTTGTAGTGTAGAAATATTATGTTCTTCTTTATCCACATAGTTTGTAGCAAGATCTAGAGGGGGATGAAACAGCAGCACCCCTCAACATGGTGATGCACATAGAGTAATCTCATTAACTCTAACAGTGTTTGAGCAGTGTTCTAACAGCGCTCTAACAGTGCTTCCTTAACTCCAGCCCCAGTGCCTGAAGGAGAGGCAGTCTCTCCCATCCTTTTCAACTGGACTCTGAGTGCTGCTAGATAAAGAATCTGGATCCTAGTTACAGTGCTCAGGGCTTAGGACAGATTTACTCATTAGTAACTACGGTGATTTTGTAGCATCCTGAATGAACCTAACTGAATTCGGACTTTTGCTGTGGGGACTGGGTGTTTTAGAGGGATAATTAGGGAGTAGGGATGAGGTGACTAAGTGTGGAACTCAGTAGAGTCAGGGAAATGTAGAAGTTACAATAAGCAACAGGAAGAGGTCGGGTCTTTGGTCCACATGGAATTGCCTGGAGTTTATAATGAGCTTTAGGAAGTGAGGCTCCTTCTTTCCCATAGAGGTTGGGTATGGGTTGTCTTCAGGAGTTGGCTGGAATAAACAGTAGGTTCTTGGGCCACTTTGAGTTTTCTCAGATGGGCAATTTGAGGAGACTAGGGACATGGCACATGGCCTGGAGTGTTTATTCAAGTGTTCAAAGACCAAAGTTGAGTCTGGCCAAGAAAGGCTAGAGGAGCCTAGCTGGAGTTTGGTTAGGGAAGAATCTTTGTCAATGTCCAGCCTCCAGCTCAGGTCTGTGCAGGCTTGATTGCTTTGGCTAGGAGTACTTGCTTTATTGCTTGGTTGACTAGGGGCGGTGGGCACCCAAGGAGGAGGTATACCTTGGGTCATGAGGTAAATTGCCAGATCTATGAATGGGGCAGGTTGGTGGCTCTGATCTACTTTCCAGTGGAACTAAGCCAAGTTCAGGACACAACTTGCTGTGAAGGTCATTAAGAGATGGTGAGGCAAATGGGAGGCCAAACACCACATTTCTGGCTTACCAGGTGTCACATTGGAGGTCTATCATTTTTTATTACCAGTGTTCGATTCAAGAAGATATCTCTCATGATTTTAATAAGACTTTCTATTGTGCCTTTAAACTATATCTTTGATTGCTTTGAATTTGGATTCAACCCAGCATAAGATTAAGAAGATCATAGATTAAATAAAGGTCATAGTCCCCAAAATAAAAGTAATCTACTTTTATTACATATGCAATCTAATATTAAAGGTCTTAGTGATATTGTTTTGGTAAGCTTTTTTAAGGGAAAAAATACATTTGTACAGTATTTTTAATGTCCTGTAGGAATAAGGGACATATTATAATAATTTATACAGATGAAATAATTTATAAGATGGTCTTTAAAGTAGTTACTTGTCTTTGGAGTTTGTGTTATGGTCATGTTTGTAAGCACAGAACAATGTATTAATTAAAATGTTGTACACTTTTTCTCCTTAAGCAAATTAATTCAAGAAAACAAATGACTTTTAACATAAGTATATCTTTTGGCACAGAAAACAAAAAAAATGCAGGGGCTATGGAGGAAATTTACAAGGAGTATGACTTGGCTCTGAAGTCATACACAGATCTTTTATAAACATGCATACATATGCATACTTCTATTTGTGCGTGTGTGTACTATAGATGTAATTTTTGTCTTCGTGTCACAGGATATCCTGGAGCCATACGCTAGACCTCTTGGCAGTGGCAAAGCTCTGCCAATGACAATATACAAAATGGCCCTCTACCTTTGAGTAAGCACAATCATCTAGTTTATTTTTTTTTAATGGGAATCCACTTTCAGTGAGTAAAACTGAGTTCTTTCTAGAACATTTATTTGGGAACTTGCTCCAAAAATCTGAGGTAGTTTGCAAGACTTCACTGAAAGTCTTCTCTCGCACTTCCTTCTCCCTTTTCATCCTCTTCCATCTTATTTCTCTTTCTTCCTCAACTTCCCTTCCCTTTGCTCACTGTCTCTTTTTTTCTTTCTCTTTCCTCTCTGTCTTCTTTGTGACTCCACCTCTCCCTCCGTCTCTCCCTTCCTCCCACAGTCCTCTGATTCTCCCTTGGAAGTGGTTTAAACCCCACAGCAGAGTGGCCTCCCTCTCAATGTCCTGCCTTCCTCAGATTCTGGGTAGGAGCATGGTTTGCTGATGGGAAGAATCAAAGCCTTAGGAAATAATGACCTGAATTCTAGAAGGTTCTAGTTAGGCTTCCAGGGGACTGAGCCAAGAAAGTTAAGGAAAGTAACTTAATTAAATGGCTTGAAAGTAGACTGGCTTGTTCGGGTTGGACTGAGTCCTTTCTACAGGAAGGAAGCTTGTGGAGCGCACTGCTTTTCCTTCCTGGGCAGGGCCATGGTTCAGGTGTGCCAGGTGTGGCAGGTGTGCCAGACTTGTCCCTCCAGCCTCCTAGGGCATCTTCCCCAGGGCCTTTTTCCTTGATCACCTCTAGGAGGCTTGATTTCCTAAATCTCCAATCATGTTAATAGTTGTATGGAGATCCAAAACAGAAACCAACAACTCAATTATAAGTTCGGTGGGTAAGCAGACTTGGGTTGAAAATATTAAACAAGAACTCTCAGAGATGGTTCAAATGCCCTCTCCCTCCACCCAGGTCCCACAGCCTGCTGTTCTACCATGCTCACTTTACTTCTTTCCTGTCTACCTGCTTCTCCAGCCAACCACCAGCAGGGGGAATGTTTTTTGGAATTTCCTTTGCCTTTCACCATGGATTTGGTCATGTTCTCCTTCCTGCAGTGTTTTATTATTATTATTATTATTATTATTAATTTTTTTGCTTACTTGGTTGTATTTGTTTGCTTGCTTTGCTTTGTGTTTTGAAACAGGGTTGCACTATATA